GCAATGGTGAGAACAACTTGCAAAAGCATTATATACCGAGAACATAACAAATACATGCAAACTGCAGCATTGTAATACCATTTTTTGTGGTGAAAGTTTTATGAGATAACACAATGTTCGTTACAAAAATTAAACAGTGTTTGTTACATGGGTACAATACATAAATAGTTAAATAAAACATAATGCAGCACCGAGAAAGTTCTACTACAATACAAGTACCAAATCTAAAACATTGAACTAGCACACCTGTACCAATCCTCGGTCTAAAATATACTGAGTAAACAACTCATCATCCGAGTACCAGTCCTCTACCACAACCTCGTTGATGTGGCTAGACTCACCTGCATTGCCCTGATCTACCTGTTGCCTGTAGTAAGCTACCTCCGCTTCACCTACGACCTCTACGGCTTGAGTCAAGAGCACGTCCTCCTCTGTCTGGCTCATATGGCTAGGCTCACCTGCATTGCCTTGATCTGTCTGTCGCCTATAGTAAGCGGCCTCCGTTTCATCTACGGCCTTTATGGCATGAGTGAAGAACGCGTCGTCATCCTCCTCCGCCTACAAGCCCGCTTCTACTAGAGCGATGAGCTCGCTCAGTCTGCCAGTGTCGTCCTCAGCCTCCTCCACCTGTAAACCCGCCTTAGCAAGAGCGATGAGATCGCTCAACTTGGCAGTGTCGTCCTCATCCTCATCCCTCTTATTAGACAACACAATCGGTGATTGAACGGTGCGACCAGCTCGCGTTCTGTGCTCATGTAACTTCTTTTCCTCAAATCTTGCACAGGCCACCTCTGCGGCATGGTCCTCGCTACATTCAATCCCTTCATGTATGTAATGCAACAAGTTAGAAACGCGATTATATTATATTTAAAAGCAGACAATGAAAATAACAAGGCTTCCAATGACTCACTGACACACAATGCAACAACATGGTCGTTCAAAACCTGCATCTGTACTCTTTTCTCCTCCCTTGCCTCCTTCCTTGCCCTCTCCTCCTCTAACGCCCTCCGTCTCTCCAAACCCCATTTGTCAAGCCCAACATTGATCGGGTTACGAATATAGCGCTGTCTAGCAAACTCACGTATATTGTTTTTATGATGTTTAACGAATAGGTTGACGTAGTCAGGTCCATATCCCCTCTTCGATGCAATTACTTGCCTCCCCTTCAGTTCATCCAAGAACTTAGCTTGACCATCATAACATTTCCACCTGTATTTTCTTGTGCTCTGTTCAAATGAAAAATTATATCATATATGTCTTAGCAAAAAATAAATAAAATATGATTTTATGTTTACCACAAAAATAACCAACCTCATCATAGTCAACCATATGGCCACAATAATGGCCTATTCTAAGTTCCGAAGGGACTAAACCGTAGTTGGATTTAACACCACATTCGCACTTGACTGAAGGTGCTTTATAAATTATCCTTTCTTTCTTCTTTTCCTTTGCCTTTGGTGGCTCCGACCATTGATTCTTAGGACCGTAGAGCCACTTATTGAAATGACACTTCGCAAATTCATAACGCTACAAGAGAATATATTAGTACACACATATAGAGATAAGCATTTAAACAGATACACTTTTTACTTACTTCATGTTTGTTCGGACACACAAACTCCAACGTATTCTCAGGATTTATCATAGCTCGATCTCCGCATTCGTATAGAGGAGGTTCCTCGAGTCATCTAACTATGGCTAGGTGCTTCTTCTTAGCCATCATTGGCAGGAGGTTAGGGGGTGGAACCCACCGCTAGAAGTGCTCATGTGGATGTCTCCCTCTACACCAATCTTCGAAAAGGAGGTACCTAGGGTCTGCATCGTCGATCCACTGAAAGAAAAAGCACCTCTCATGGGCCTACACAATAAGATTTCAATAAAATATTAGTAGCCTACTTACACAAATGAAGAAACAAAGATAGTGGAAATAATTACTTACATTTAAAATGACTACATGTGTAGAAACAACGCGCCGCTGTGTCTGGATGTCTTGATTGAAACATGTCGGCCGAGAAACCACAGTCACAGTTAGGGACAGAGAGGTCAGGAGGGATAGGACATCTTTGCTAGACGCGTCGGGGTATAATTTTTTAGGACGACCCCGTTTTCGCCAAAACTCCTTCCGATACATTTCTTGCATCTAACAAAACAGTTGTAATTTAATAAATAAAAATCAAAACATCATAAATTAATGTCAATGAAAACCATTTGCATTACAACAAATAAAATATAACCTACACTTTGGTGTAAACTCTATCTTAGATGCAAACATAAAAACTATATAAAAACTATACTTTGGTCAGTAAAAAATAAAATTTGGTACATCAACAGTGTGTCCATATATTTATTCACATATAAAAGTTGAGATACAAACTCAAACAAGCAAAATACATGGTAATCATAATTCTAACTAACCAATTAACCTTAACATTGTCAATCCTAATCTTAATCCTTCAATCCAACGTTCTAACGAACTCATATTTTGCTCCATACATAACTACCCATTCAAATTCTTCGATCCACCGTGGAGGTCGAGGAGGAGCTTCGTTACCTTGACAAGGCCGATGAGGAGCTTTGGGGAAGGTAGAGAGGGAGCCGGCAAGGGAGGGAAATTCGATGACCGGCCGTGGGGGAGCCAGGAGGCAATGGCGCAGCGGTGCGGGCTGGGAGGCGCGACGGCGGGGGCTAGGCGGCATGGAGGCGGCTGTTGTGCTGCGCGGGGTGAAACAGAGAGGGAGGAAAGGACTGAGCCGCGGGCCTCTATTTGGCTCTATCGCGCCCCAACGAGTGGCGCGGCATCACGCCAGCACCTCTCGATCGGTGGCGTGTCACACCACCAGCTACCGATCGATGAGGCGGCGCAGTTAAGGTTCACCACGTCAACCGACCAAATAGCGGGGACGTTACCACGTACGCACCCCTGCCGCGCCGCCATGCATAGCACGACAGAGTTGTTTCGCCGCGCCATGCAAACAGGGACGTCCAAAAATATTAGTTTTGAAAAAAAAAAATAAACAATGTCAGTTTTAAAATAGTTTTAAAATGTGTTAAAAATAAAAAAAAATCTCCTTTGTCAGGGCCTGTTTGGTTCATTACTTTCATGGATCCTATCACTTGCTGCCGCTTTCACTAGTACTGCTACAGCTTGACTTCAAGGGATTTAATAGCAGTATAAAAAGGAAATGAATGCCTTTCATGCGTGTAGATAGGCTGCACTAGTACTGCCCATCGATCTGGGGACGTGTTTGGTAGGTCATGCGTAACGCGGAGAGACGGGTGATTTGGTTGAACTGATTTCCTTTGCCGGTGCGGAAGTGCTAGTAGGTCCGGACCTAGGCGCGCTACACTCCGTTTCATGCTTCTCGCGGGGCTCGCGTCGCCCTAGCGACAAGAGAGGGAGTCGCGCACGGCGCCGTAGATTCGGAAGGACCCAGCAGTGGCGTCAAATGGATGTCCTACCGGCGCGGGAGAAACAATACAACAAAAGGTGGGGAGAAGAGATGCAACACTCGATCTACTTTTAAAACATCTAAATACAACAGTTATAACGTACGTTTAAAGACAATTAAAACACTAAAACACTTGAAAAAACACATGGAAACACTTAAAAACCATTGCAACTATACGTAAACATCCAAATAAAACATATGCAACATCCAGATAAACACACTTGCAACATGCATACATACCTCCAAATATCTGAAACACTCGAAACATACGCTTGCAACATGCCTTTGAAACAATTGCAACAATTGCAATATGTGCAACATCTACTTTTGCAACATCCATATGAAACAAATGCAACATACATCTAAAATGCTTGAAACATAAATATGCAACATAGGGGAAAGGGAGAGAGAGAGAGAGAGAGAGAGAGAGAGCCCTGCACGGGAAGCGCCATGACCGCCGGGGTAGGGGAAGCACGATCGCCAGGGTGAGTGAGGGGGTGGGGAGGGCGTCTCGCCTGGGTGGGGGAGCGCCGCCGACTTCCCTGCAACACTGCCGCGCCATCTCCAAAGGATCTCGCTCGTGCTCCATGGATCTCGCTAGTGTGGGAGAGAGGGCCGCCGGATCTATGGGCGTTGGGAGGCTCCCAGTGGGGGAGGATGCTGAGGTGAGGGAGGACACTGGGGTGGGTGAGGGCGCCGCTATCGGCCAGGGAGGCAGCCATGGCCACAAGTCAGGGTAGGGAAGAGCGCATGTCGGGTGGCCAAGGGCGCTGCTGCCGGCTATGGAGAGAGCATAGGGCGCACGCGATGTAGGGGGTGAGAGGCGAGCAAGGCAAAGGATGAGTGAAGATTTTTTTTTAATAGTGATCAATGAGTGGAGGAGCTGCGTCCCGCGTCGAGCGGAGCTACGTCCCACGAAGTAGCATTACCGTTGCCGGTCGGCAGGCGCGGATGCAGTGCAAGAAGGATATCCGAAAAAGTTGATAGGGTGGTCAATTGTTACAAAACGAAATAATGGGCCAATAGAACCTGGCCCAACAATTCGGTGACTTGCCTCAGGCCTTGAGTCCCCCACGCCGCCGATCCTGCCCCTCCTCATCACTCATCAGCGTGGAATCGCGAGACTCCCGCACCTGCGCCGCCGACGGCCGACCGAGAACAACAGACCGACGCCGACGCGCTGCACGTCCGTGGTGTCACGCGTGCCTCGTCTGTCGCGCTTCGCCACGGCACCGCCCCCCATTCTCTTCTTCTGTCTCTGGCGACCGACGGTAACGGGCACAGGTCCCTCTCGACGCGACGGCCGTCGGCCGATCCCAAGCTCCCAGCGCGCTTCCTCCCTCCAGCGCTGGCACCTGGCAGTGCATCGGTCCTGGTGAGTGCCTGCTACCCGCTGTCCAGCTTAGGCCTTAGGGTTAGGGATTGTGAAACTGGGCTAAAGGGGTTCTGCAATACTGACGAGATTCCTACAGGAGTAACTTGGCTCCTACAGGAGTAACTTGGCTCGCGCCGCTCTGCCGTCTGCTCTCTGCGAACCACGACGATAGGGATATGGCCGGCGCTCGCGCGACGCCGACGCGGACACCCCCGCGGTCGTCTTCCCTGGCGCCCCGCACCGAGGCGGTAGTCCCGTCGGACTGGGCCTGCGTTGTAACGACCGTCTCCTCCGACCCCACGCCACCGGTGGTCGTCGTGTGCGGACCCAAGAACAGCGGCAAGTCCACCTTCTCCCGCGTCCTCCTCAATGCTCTGCTCCCCAGGCAAGCCACCTCCATAGAGTCAACCCCCTAGTCCTGACGAGTGACGACCCCGTTGGCGATGCTGGCGGTCCTCTTAACCGATGGTGTTGTGGTGCTTTGCAGGCATGGTAAGGTTGGTTATCTGGACACCGACGTTGGGCAGCCGGAGTTCGGGCCGCCGGGGTGCCTCTCGTTCCATGTCCTCGACGAAGCTATCGCAGGTTAGTACATACGCGTGTGCCGGATTTGGTGTCACTGCTGCTGGTTTCTCAAATGCGGCAGTAATCTTTGGTCCATTCGTCACTGACAAGATGATTTTTGCCTTTTGTGCAGATTTTCTGAACCCAACTCTACGGGAAGCTGAAAGGTAAAAAATTTCTCCTATTTGTGTACAGTATTAAATTGTGATTAGCTTGCAGTGTAGTGTGGTAATTTCACTTGGTTTCTTCACTTCAGGAATTCGTGCACAATTTTTATTGTGGGATTTCTTCGTTTCTTTACTGAAACAGTTGTGGTAGCGTGTTAGCGGCCATGTAACTTTTTAGTTTTTACCAGGACGAATGTTTTGTTAAATACTTCCAAACCTATGTCATCCCTTCTTGGCTTTCACTGATGCCATTTACAAATTCAATTAGGTGCTACTTCTTTGGTGACATTTCTTCGAAAAGAGATCCAGAAACATATCTGAATTGCCTATTCCATTTGTATGACTATTTTGTTGGAAAATATCGATGCGATGAGAATGAAATGCTACCACTAATTGTCAATACTCCTGGATGGGTAAAAGGTATCTGTTGGTCATTCCAGAGTTGATTTGCTTTGTCTTATACCACATACTTGTTTCAGTGAAAATCTTAGGTTTTCTTTTTGTATTTTTATTTAATGCAGGTGCTGGTTTTGATATGCTCGTAGAGATGCTAAGGTTTATCTGCCCCACAATAGTTGTTCAGATACGCATCACAATGCAGAGCAAGAATCTCCCTGATGGAGTGTTTTGGCTAGATGGTGGACAAACAGGACCTAAGATGATTAACATTGATGCTGCGTTCCATGATGCCTCGAATAGATCGTAAGTAACTTTTTTCAGTTAGAAATTCAGAAACTGATATAGTTGTCCTCTTACTTGGAAAATATATATGCCAGCTCATACCTAAGAACATTAAGCCATTTATCTCTGGTTGTACTCAGACAGTCAGACCTGTATCTGCACCATTCAAAGATACTTGCATTGGCGAAGTTTACATGTTCTTGACCAGGGTTGACTGGATAATGCATTCCATATTTAGCTATTAGTTTTCTTTATACCATGTTTTGACTCTATCTATATAGGACTGAAAGAATGCCAACCTTTTGTCTGAATTCTTGTGTGGCTTTGGTGATCAGGATGATTGTTTTCTAGTCACATTTGTGTTGCCATCTGTTTACAACTTCGCACCTGCAAGTGTCTTGTTCCAATGATTGTCTTTGTTCCAATGAGACAATCATTTTGTGAACTCAAAACTCTGTTCCATACCATTAGGAGGCATCAGCTTGCTCTTAGGCTGCAGTTGATTAGTTTATTTATTTATTTTGCCAAAGAGTGCTTACAGGAGCTTCTAATTGAAGCAAAAGCTAACATCATCTCTATTGCCAAGGTTGTTAATTCAGAAAGATTCAGGTGGAATGCGTGAACGCCGACTTGTGGAGTACTTGAAGCAATGTTTTCCAAGCAACATATCTCTATCAACTAATAAGGAGCTTGCTCATGCACTAGCTTCACTTCCACCTTATCAAGTGCTATTTTCAGATGTTACAGTTGTGCATCTTCATTGCGAGGTCAGTTGTCTTCCCATTGCTTCTATATCTATTATCCACATCTTTCAGAGTTTGGACTTTGAGTGAAATGACATGTTTAGTCTGTTGCCTTCCGTTCCTATGATGAAATGCCCTGGATTAAGGCACCTGAAGCTGGAAATTCCGTGGATAATACTTATAAATTATTTATACTTATAAACCAAGTTTCAAACAAATGATTATAGACAGAGATGCTAGTACATAAATAGTATCCCTTATATAGTATTCTAAACTTGCTATTACATATTCTCTTACCGTAAGTTTTATGTATTATTAGTTTAGTCATTGACAAAGATTAGATGCGCAATCCTTGATAAGATATTATCAACATCATGAATATTTGCATGCTCAAAGTTCTACCCTAGAGTTCTCTGTGATTGTATAGTAAATCAGAAAATGTGGTAGCAGTTTGGCTTGTATTTCCACAGTTAGTGGAAGTCCTGACTCCTGAACATCAACATGTTTACACGGTTACTCTTTGCCCAGGTACCTGCTGGTGAGATATGGCGTAGTCTGAACGCAACCATAGTTGGTTTGGCAGTTTCTAATGCATCGGAGGGAACCAGATCAGTCCCTTATTGTGTTGGGCTAGGTAATATTTCAGAACTGTCTTTTTGAGTTTTTGTTTTGTTATTAGTTTCACTGCAAAAGCATCTTGGATTTGATTGGCTACCTAGCTCATTTAGGAGTGGGACTCTTAGTTGTTTTGTAATTAGTATCATTATTAGTTTTGGGCCCTGGCCCCAACCAATTTGCAGCTGGAGAAAGTTCATCTCGATAGAGCATGCAGGTCGTGAACAAAGTCTGGTTTATTCTGAATAATGCGGTTTCAGCAGCCCATAATGCATTATCTGATATCTGTGTGGAACTGTGTGTGCAAATAATAACGAAGTTATGTACTTGTGCAGGCATCGTCAGGGGTGTCGACGTTCAAAAAGGCCTGTTATATCTAATAACTCCTGTCCCTCTCCAGCGCCTGCAAAGCATAGATCTTTTGCAACAGGGTCTCATTGAGATACCTACTACTCTTTTGCAGGTAATAACATGTTTTTCCCCCATTCTGGCAATTGGCTGCAGCTGCAAGGAAACAACTAGTATTTACTGTAGCTACAAACCGCCGCAGCCGCAGCGCAATAGTCTGCAGCGAGCAGGCAGTTAGTAGCTAATGCATATTATAATAGCTAATGGGTGGCCTGCATGTGTTTTAATAGACATATTGCCTATGAAGAAAGTTGTAATCAGAAAATAACATAAAATTTGTTTGAAATGTTAGGAAGCTTCTCAAGCGATAAATTCACTGCCGCATAGTTGTAGACTTGTAGTCGAAAGACGTAGACTTGCTTTAGACACAGAGCCTTCTTAGCCCTTGCAATACTCTGCTTTTTTCCTTAAACAAATTTCATCCCCTTCCAATCCAGGTCCGCGGATGTGTGTCGCCATACATGTCGACAAATGTGCTTCACAAGATATCAGAAAGGGATTTATATGCTGGGTGACAGTTAGCGCAGGCAGTGTCCGAGATAGACCTGTATCTGCTGGTTTCTGATGCGGAGAGAATGAATCCAACTGCAGTTTCAGGCTGCCCAGCGGTTGCCGCCTCCTAGATTCAGCTAGTACTAGTAGATCTGTGACCTATGCTGTGCAATTCCCCTGTCAAATTAGGAAGTCATTGCACTAGTGCCTCACGGAGATCTGGATGTGGATGTAACTTACTGGATTCATTGAAATTCCATAATTCTTATACAAGTTACTCATTTGGTGTCCCAGCATAGCAGGTCCAAAGCCTTGGTAAAGGAGGAGGTTTGTGTTAGGCGCGGTAAGCCAATATAAAAATTTAGCCACTTTTATGGAGATGAAACCCAAAACAATCCTGTTGGGGCGTAATCCTCTTAGCGACGCGCCATGTCGGAACCCGGGTATGGTGTTAAATGAGCAAGGGCCGGGTCGTCACCCCCGTGTCGCGATCTGGGCACGGTGTTGAAAGTGAGCAAGGATCGGGTTGTCGCGTCCTTAGTGGTGCACCACATCGGCGCCCGATGGTGTAAAATGAGTAAGGGTCTTCACACCTACCTCGGTGGGTGCGAAGGGTAAGGAAGCTAGTCGAGCCAACTAGAATCCGTTTAGGTAGCTGGAATGTATGGTCCTTTACGTGTAAGTTAAGAGAGTTAGTGGATACAACGGTTAGGAGGCGTGTAAATATCTTATGCGTCCAAGAGACTAAATAGAAGGGGCAGAAGGCGAAGGATGTGGACAATACCGGCTTCAAGCTCGGGTACACAGGGACAACTTCAAATAAAAATGGAGTACGAGTTTTGATTGATAAGAGCCTCAAGGATGGTGTGGTAGAGGTGAGAAGGCAATGGGTTAGGATCATCTTAGTTAAACTTGTTATTAGTGATATGGTCTTAAACATAATTAGTGCGTATGCCCCAAGTAGGTCATGATGAGAGTGCTAAGCGGCTTTTCTGAGAAGACTTAGATCGCTTGGTTAGAGCTGTCCCTAGTAGTGAGAAGCTCTTTATAGGAGGTGATCTTAATGACCATGTAGGTACATCAAGTGCAGGTTTCGAGGCGGTTCATGGGGGTTTCGGATATGGTAGTAGAACCAGGAGGGAGAGGAAGTCTTAGACTTCGCCATAGCTTTTGATCTGATGATAGCTAACACTTTCTTTCGTAAGAGACAGTCCCATTTAGTGACCTTTAGTAGCGACCAGTACTCTAGTCAAATCGACTTTGTCCTTACAAGAAGGAGGGATAAACGAACATGCGTGGACTGTAAGGTGATATCTGGAGAATGTGTGGTCGCTCAACACAAGCTGGTGGTGGCTGACTTCCGCTTTCTGGTGCAAGCTCGTGGGAACAAACAAGCTAGGGTTGCTAGAACGAAGTGGTGGAAATTAGAAGGAGAGACATCAAAGGTCTTTAAGGAAAAGGTCATCGAAGAGGGCCCTTGATGATGAAGGCGATGCAAACAACATATGGGAGAAGATGGCAACATGCATTCGGAAGGTTGCTTCAGAGGTGCTTGGAGTGACCAAAGAGAGCGGATGCGACTCAAAAGACACTTGGTGGTGGAATGAAGATGTGTAAAAGGCTAATAAGGAAAAGGAGTATTATAAGCGCTTGTATTATGACAGGTGTGCAGATAATATAGAGAAGTACAAGGTGGCAAAGAAGACAAAAACGAGCGGTGAGTGAGACAAAGGGGCGGGCCTATGAGGATCTTTACCAATGTTTGATTACAAAGAAAGGAGAGAAGGACATTTATAAGATGGCTAGGGCTCGCGATAGGAAGACAAGGGACTTCAATCAAGTCAAGTGCATAAATGATGAGATGGAGCAGCTCTTGGTGAAGGAGGATGGGATCAGACATAGATGGCAAGTGTATTTTGATAAATTGTTCAATGGTGAGAACAAGAACTTCACCATTCAGCTGGGCGACTCGTTTGATGACACAAACAGATGCTTTGTGCGGAGGATTCAAGAATCGGAGGTTAGAGAAGCATTGAAAAGAATAAAAGGGGGCAAAGCGATGGGTCCTGATGGTATCCCAATCAAGGTGTGGAGATGTCTCGAGGATATAGCTATAGTATGGCTAACCAAGATGTTCAACAATATCTTTCGATCGAACAAGATGCCTGAGCAGTGGAGAAGAAGCATATTGATACCAATATATAAGAACAAAGAAGATATCCAAAGTTGTACTAATTATCGGAGAATTAAGTTGATGAGCCACACTATGAAGCTATGGAAGAGAGTCATCGAGCAGCGCCTGTGAGGAATGACGTAGATATCAATAAACCAATTTGGTTTCATGCCCGGAAGGTCAACCACAGAAGCAATCTTCTTAATAAGACAAGTTATGGAGTGGTTTAGAGAGCAGAAGAAGGACCTCCACATGGTTTTCATTGACTTGGAGAAGGCTTATGACAATATACCAAGAAATGTTATGTGGTGGACTTTGAACAAACATAAAGTCCCATCAAAGTACGTGACCCTTGTCAAGGACATGTACAACAATGTTGTGACTAGTGTTCGAACAAATGATGGTAACACATATTACTTCTCAATTAAAATTGGACTTCATCAAGGGTCAGTCTTAAACCCGTATCTCTTTGCCTTGGTAATAGATGAGGTTACCAGGAACATACAAGGGGATATCCCTTGGTGTATGTTGTTCATTGATGATGTAGTGTTAGTGGACGAAAGTCAGGTGGAAGTAAATAGAAAACTAAAGTTATGGCGACAGACTCTTGAGTCTAAAGGTTTTAGATTGAGCAGAACTAAAACCGAATACATGGGATGCGACTTTGGCGGTGCTGCACAGGAAGAGGGAGATGTGAGTTTAGAAGGTCAAGTAGTGCCTAAGAAAGATACCTTTCAGTATTTGGGATTGATGCTACAGAGGGATGAAGATATTGATGCGGACGTTAGCCATAGAATCAAAACAAGACGGATCAAGTGGCGACAAGCTTCTAGCATTCTCTGTGACAAGAGGGTACTACAAAAGCTAAAAGACAAGTTTTATAGAACGATGATTAGACTGGCTATGTTGTATGGAGCAGAATGTTGGCCTACAAAGATTCGACATGTTCAACAACTAAGTGTTATAGAAATGCGTATGTTGCGATGGATTTGTGGTCACACAAGAATGGACCGAGTTCAGAACGATGATATACGTGATCGCTTAGGGGTAGTACCAATTGAAGAAAACCTTGTCCAACATTGGTTGAGGTGGTTTGACCATGTTCAAAGGAGACTTCTAGAGGCACCAGTGCATTGTAGAGTCCTAAGCTAAGCTAATAATATAATGAGAGCTAGATGAAGACCGAAATTAACTTGGGGAGAGGCAATAAAAAGATATTTAAAAGCTTGGGATATATTTAGAGATCTATGTTTAAATATGAGTACTTGAAAAGTAACTATTGAATTGCCTTAACCATGACTTAGGGATCTCAGTGGGTTTGAACTCTAGCCACACCAACTTGCTTGGAACTGAAAGGCTGTGTTGTTGTTTTTATACAAATTACTCCTTATTCATGCCTTTGCTTTGAATTGTTGGCTCATGTTGCTTGCACTTGCACTTCCCTACTCTGCCCTAAAACATTTGCTTATAAACGTTGTTCTTGGTAATAGTCTGAATTTGAACTTTATTGGGATTTCGTGTCTTGTGAGGATAACGTGGCATAACATGCCTTCATGTTAATGAAGAATATGTTCGGTCGCGAAAAAATAAAATATTTGCTTATAAAACTCATCGCGACACGATCTTTAGCAGAGAAGATAATATATATAAGAGACAAGGTAGATGAACAGAGATTTATTTATTTCAGAAAGCATCAGGACATTCATAGGATTGGGAGACAAACACCGCGACCGAAGGAAGTAAACACACATCTTCAGAAGCACACTACTACAGCTACTACTCCTTGCTACCAGTGCAACGGATTATTCCTCTTCCTCACCACATTCCACAGGTTCTCAGCTTGCTGGTACAGCTCCGACATCATCTTCCAAGCTTCGGTCGACGGCGGTCCGCTCAGGCGACCTTGACCTCGATGGTCTTGGGCTTCTTGGGCTCGGGCGGGGGCAGCTTCTTGACGGTCACCGTGAGCACGCCGTCCCTGCACGCCGCCGAGATCTTGTCCATGTCGGCGTTGTCCGGTAGCACGAACTTGCGCATGAACTTGCCCATCCGCCGCTCCATGCGCAGGTACTTGGCGTCCTCGCGCTCCTCCCGGCGCCGCTCGCCGCTGATCACCAGCACCCGCTCGTCCTCCACCTGCACCTTGATGTTGCCCGTGCCCAGCCCCGGCATGTCCACCACGAACACGTACGCGCCGGGCAGCTCCTTGACGTCGGCCGGGGTGGCCGCCATGGCGCGCGCGTCGCGGACGTAGGTGCGCGTGGCCCCGCCCGCCGCGCCGGAGCCCGCCTTGTCGCCGCCCGCCGCGCCGGCGTCGCCGTCGGGCACGTCCAGCACGTGCTGCAGCGCCACCATTAGCGGGGTCTCCAGCCCGAACATCCTCGCGTCCATCTCTCGATCGCTCTCGCTGCCGCTGGCGGATCTCGGATTGCTCTGCTTGTTGCTGTGTTGGTTTCTTGGATTGTTTGTGTGATTCTTGTTCTTGGCGTGGGGAGTGACGAGGCGGGAGGGGGCGTTTATATTGGTGCTGAGGGGTGGGCTTCTGGAAGGCGACGGAAGGTTAGGTGGTGGAGCGTGCGGGGCGCGGGGCACGGCGAAGCGCAGGCGTCCCTGCGTGGTCGGGACTCCTGAAGAGTCCAGAATAAAATAGAGGCCCTCACTGAAAAGCAAAGTATTGTCTGTTTTGTCCGAAAAAAATACGGTTTCTTCGTCGAAACAGTACGGCCATAGCCTTAGAATCTGTGCTTTGGATAATTGGATGGTTTTTCTCCAGAGACAGCGGGGGTTTCTGGGCCCACATGTCATTAGGTTATGGCAACTGCCACGTGCCTCCAGCTGGTCCTATCTGTACTTGTCCGTGTCGGAAGTCCTAACTCCGAACTCCGAACAGAAGATATTTACGAGCGCTCAGCCGCTCAACGTTTCCGTTCCGTTGTTTCCGGAAAGTTCCACATTCTCTTAATCTTCTCGGTACATGCTACATGGTAGACGTGAACGTGAGATCAGATCAGATCAACGTCATCGAAACAAATTTTTTATACCATTTGCTTTAGTACCAAAACTTGCAATATCCTCCTCCGTTCATAAAAGAATATAGTTCTCGTTTTTTTAAGAAGTCAACTAGTTTGAACTTTGATTAAATTTATATAAAAAACTACTATCATTTATGATGAAAAAAATATAATTCTCGTTTTTTGAGAAGTCAACTATTTTGAACTTTGATTAAATTTATATAAAAAACTACTATCATTCATGATATAAAATAATTACCGTTAGATTATTTACAGAATATATTTTCATAATAAATTTTGTTTGGAGACATAAATGCTAATATTATTTTAACTATAAACTCGGTTAAACTTAAGTTACTTTGACTGACACGGATCCTATAATTTACTCAATTTCGGTCACTTTTGCTCGCCAAACCATCGCAAATTTTAGTGGCGAAGCAGGCCCAAAGTGACATAATCCCTCTGTCTTGTTGTTATGGTATTCGTGTCGGTCAAACTTCGGAAATACTTGGATGCGGGCGTCCGTCCGCTCGCGTCGGTTCGGACACAGCTTCCACTCCGCCTCGCATGTGTCTCTATCTCTCTGCTTCGTCTTGCCCTCCCCATCCCCAGGTCTCTCTCGTCCGCTGGCAGCAGCAGAGCCCCGCGCCGCCATTGTTGCCTCCTTCCTCCACCCAATCTGACCATGTCGTCTCCTCCTCTTAGTTCGCGCAGTGCCTCCCCAGTCTCTTCAACATAGCACTGTCAGGATGCGTCGCGTCGCGGGCCGCCACCGCTACCCATGCCGATGGTGGCTGGGCATAGGCGCCGGGGCACCTCAAGTCGTCTCTAGCCAAGCCAAGGGACACCCATGAGCGTGGCTGGTGCTGATGATGCTCGCACGCCACCGGCTCCCACCCTGACGGCCAGAATCGACCGGCCTCGTTCTTTCTTCCCTATGTTGCAAACGTATGTTTCAGTTGTTGCAGATGTTTTAAAAGTATGTTGCAAGTATTTCGTATAGATGTTGCAAAAGTAGATCGAAATATTGCATATGTTGCAATGGCTATATACGTACGTTGCAAAGCGTGTGTTTCAAATGTTTCATCTATTTTTCAAACGTATGTTGCAAATGTTTTTATTTGGACGTTGCATATATTTCACACATGTTTGCAAGTGTTTTTTTGTTAGTATGTTGCATATGTTTTGCAATGGCTTTCCAAGCGTTTTAGGTATTTTCGCAAGTGTGTTTTAGACGCATGTTTCTAGTGTTTCATCTTTCTTCTGACGTATGTTGCAAAAGTTTTATTTGGATATTTCAAAAATAGATCGGGTGTTGTACATGTTGCAATGTGACTCACCTGCCTTAGCCGCCTACTACAATTGGTGTGGCGCCGTGCATGCGTGTGGGAAGCGGAGGGATGGAGCGTTGCGCCGCTGTGGGCGCGGGAAGCAGCCGTAGGCGTCCGGACGCAAGCGCCAGTCAGGACATCCATGCTCTCGACTGCCCCTCAAACTTTCTAAATTTGTAGAAAATATTAGCAACATTTGTATCTCCAAATAAATTTACTATAAAAATAAATTCAACGATCTATCTAATGATATTTTTTTTTAACATGAAAGCATTCTCCATTACTCATTAACATATGCCAAATCGTTGGCCACTAGGACCTGGATACAACTTGGTATACAATCTTGAACCGAGATCGATAATACCGAACCCGGACTAATACCAGCTCCTACAGTAGCTAGCTCATGAGCAACCAAACTACATGAATGAGGCGTATGAATGACTACCCTGGAGGCAAAATTACAATTAAGTACTTTAACTCCCAAATAAGACAGCTCAGAGAACTGCGATCTAACTCCGACATGGATATAGCTTGTACCACTATGGATGCATCCGTCTCCAAAACAAGGTTCTGGATTCCCAGCTCCGCTGCTCGCTGCACAGCTTGTAGACAAGCAATGATTTCTGCATGGTGGGAATCAAGCACGTTTTCCAGTTTACCATAACCCGCACTGATCACCGCGCCATCATCGCCCCTCACAACAAAACCCCAGTCTCCTACACCGTTCAGCGGCTTGAAGGATCCATCACAGTTCGCCTTCACATAGTTCACTGGTGGTCGTTTCCACGACATCTTCGGCTTTTGAAGAGCACACTCCCTTGCTGCTGGTTTCAGTGATGAACATTCCTCTGCATAGGAAGTAATCAGCTGGCAAAGATACGAGATGCTCCGGGGGTTGGCGCCTTCCCGAATGGCGCACCTCTCCGACCACCAAACATACAGCAAGACTACCACTTGTCTCTGAATTGTTTCCTTCATCTTCAATATTTCCACAATCACTTCCATAACGGACTGCATAGATGCCAAATGTGCTCTGATATTTTCCATCTGCATCATGTACCTTCCACAGCCGACTGCATAGATGCAAAATGTGCTCTGATATTTTCCATCTGCATCATGTACCACAAGAGCGATACCTGCTTGCACTTAAAAAATAAATGTGCACCATCTTCATCAAGTCTATTACACAAACAGCATTTCGAGTCGATCTTCATCCCTCTGCGTTTCAAATTCATTCTCAGTGCCAAGCTGTTATGCCCCAGCCGCCACAGAAAGTGCAACATTTTCTTTGGGTAATTCAGCTTCCATAGTTGTTTCCAGGTATTACAAATATTAATATTTTCTTATATATATTTAGTTAAAGTTAAAATCACTTAATTTCTCAGAAAACGAGAACAACATTTATTTTGAAACGGAGGGAGTAACTGCATAACCATCCATCCGCAATCGGACAATTGCATTCAGTTCAGATGACCTTAAAAATGTTCCAAGACTTTTAAAAACAATGAGCATACAGGCACTCGACATAATACGTGAATACAGGTAAATAGGTAATGAAAGGCATTATTCCAACATTCTGCTAAATGCAGTATACAATATTACATAGCTGTGCTGTGTTCATATCTCAGATTGTGGTCTTCACTTATAAGCCCGCAAGGAGAAAAAGAAGAAGAAACGAAGTCTCAGCTATTTACAGGCTGCACTATCCAAATCCTCCAAGAACCCTTTTAGCATAAGAAGGAAAAAATACAGAGGCCTCATGAAGATTGTGCTGATTTGCCTGAGCTGCGCCCTCTAAATCCAACCACACTGAGCTTAGTTCCGAGCTTGTTCAGAGCATCACTCTTTGATTTTCGCCTCTCGGGTTTTGCTTTGCTCTTCGAGACCTTTGTGCTGCTCTGAGAAGGTGGCTTGGCTTTTCGAGGGGCTGCCGATTTTGTTGTCTTCGCCTGGCTCTTCGGTGGTGAGCGCCTACGGGTTGAAGTTGTATCCTTGGGAGTCCGGGATGACTTGCTAGATAGTGCTATTCCCCTTCTACCCTTCTGATTGACAACTTTAAGAGCATTTGAAGTCTTAACTAACCTTGAGGGCCTCCCTTTGGTGCTCACACTCTGCGGGCTGGTTGCCCTTCTGACATTGTTGGTCGTGAGAGCTTCCAAGCTCTCATTTTTCTTCATGGCCTCTTCGATCCGTGTAGCTAAAGCTACGTCCTTCTTAGCCACAATGCTTGTAACTTTCCCTGCATTAGGGATAACCATGACAATGCGTGTTAGACATAGGAATCGTGCAAATCTATAGCTGCGGCCAGTCCGAAGATCACCCCGTTACAGACTACTGTTTGTGCATCTACACAAGTGGCAAACCTCATGTCCTTTGTAAGCATAATATCACTACTTGACACAAAATCACATAACCGTTTGTTTTCGGGCGTACCCAGTGCAGAGAGCTCCCGCTCTATGCGGGGTTTGGGGAAGGGTGTCAGTGGCAAGCCTTACCCTCGCCTGTGCAATGCGAGGAGACCGCGGCTCGAACCCGGGACCTTCCGGTCATAGGCAGTAAGACTCTACCGCTTGCACTAAGCCCGCCCTTCATAACCGTTTGTTTTAGGAAAACCAAATATTCAAATTCCCTTATAGTCAATCCTATCCCTTTTCTAAGGTATGCAAAGTGTAATCCTGTTCAGTTTACTATTGTATTCCTGTTACTGAAAGAACAGCAAGGTCTCTCTGCAATGAAGACACTGAGATGGACAGATGGTAGCCTAAGTTCCAATGATGGAGTCTAGTTTCTGGTTTGCAATAAGATCATGATAAAATATAAGACAATATGCACCATTGGCTAAGAATTGTTTATACCTTTGGCTCCCATGCGTGCAGTTCTCCCGGTTCTGTGAAGGTAGTCAATCTAAAAACACAAGAACCACCACAAAGACTGCATAAAAAACACATTCATGGGAGTAAATGCAAACACAAAGAACATACAGGCAGCGCAACATACCGAATTCGATGGGAAGTCAAACATGATGACATGGTCAACATCCAGGTCCAGG